ATTCATGTGGATGATTGGGTATATGAGGGGATGAATATGAATGTTCGATGCGTAGTTGTGTAGGTAAGTGGCTTGTATGATATAGAAAATTAGTAGAGGCTCTCTGTCTCTGTCTGTCTGCCTGTCTCTCTCTGTCTGTCTCTTTCTGTCTCTCTCTGATTTTTTCTCTGATTCTCTATTTCTCCTCTCTCTCTCTATCTCTCTTGCGTTTTTTTTTTACCTGTCACTATTACTGTCTGTCTCTGTTTCTTTCTCTTATTCTCTCTCTCTCTCTCCCTCTCTCTCTCTCTCTCTCTCTCTCTCTCTCTCTCTCTCTCTCTCTCTTCTCTCTCTCTCTCTCTCTCTCTCTCTCTTCTCTCTCTCCTCTATCTTTGATTATTTTTCTCTCTTATTATCTCTCTCTCTCTCTCTCTCTCTCTCTCTCTCTCTCTCTCTCTCTCTCTCTCTCTCTCTCTCTCTCTCTCTCTCTCTCTCTCTCTCTCTCTCTCTCTCTCGTGTGTCTCTCTCTTTGTATGCATGTATTTGTATGTATGTATGTGTGTGTGTGTGTGCGTGCGTGTATGTGTATACATATGTCCAAGGTCATAATAAAAAAAAAAAAAAATCCACCAGTTTACGGGGAAAGTATATATATGTATACGCGTGGACATAAGACTCCGTATACCTGCGCAGAAGTCCCGTAAAGAGTCAGCGTAATGTAAATAGTTCCTTAATGGCAACCTCCCCGAAATGTAAGCTTATTTTGACCGAGTCCTTTCAGTTCCGTAAATAGAGTCACTCGAGTATGACCCTTTAACAGACTCCTTTGTTGTCCCAAGATGCAATTATGTTATGCAAATAGACAGTCAGGTTGTTCCTGTACTTCTGCACGTGGGGTAGTCATGGCATGTTGCAGTAATTTTTCTTTCTTTCTTTAGTGTCATTGTTATTTTTATTTGGTATTGTTGTCGTTGTTCTTTTCGTTATTATTCCTTTTCTTGTTTCCTCTTTTCCTGTTTTTGTTGTTGTTGTTGTTCCTATACAGTCATTTCTTTTCTTTATTCTTCATTTATTTACTTTCTATTATTTCCTTTATGTCTCCTTTCCTGTTATGTTCTTTATCCAACTTCTTCACCTCCCGCCCTTCTCTCTCTCTCTCTCTCTCTCTCTCTCTCTCTCTCTCTCTCTCTCTCTCTCTCTCTCTCTCTCTCTCTCTCTCTTTCTCTCTCTCCCTTTACCTCCCACTCTCTCTCTCTTTCTCTTTTCCTGTCTGTCTGTTTGCCTCTCTCTCTCTCTATATATTATATCTATCTCACTCCCTCTCTCTCTATATATCTATCTATCTATCATCCTCTCTCTCTCTCTCTCTCTCTCTCTCTCTCTCTCTCTCTCTCTCTCTCTCTCTCTCTCTCTCTCTCTCTCTCTCTCTCTCTCTCTCTCTCTCTCTCCTCTCTCTCTTCTCTATATATATATATATATATATATATATATATATATATATATATATATATATATATCTTTCTCCTTCTCTATCTATCTCTCCATCTCCCCCTCCCTCTGCTTCCTCCTTTAGCACAGATCGCATTTGACAACCGATCTCCCTCAGCCGGACCGTTCTCTAGTGATTCACCCCCCCCCCCACATACCCCCTATCCCTGCCCCCCCCCTCTTCACCTCGTCGTTTTCTGAATCCTTGTTGACAGCTCAATCATTGCTGCCATGAATAAAAGAAAATGAATTGAGGGTCCTGTTTTTTTTTCTTACTCCAATGTGTATATTATGTTGTGCTTACTCGTTTTTTTTTTTTTGTTTTTTTTTTACTTTCTGTTCTTTTTATTATCATTATTTACTGTTATTGTTCTCTAATATTGCTCTTGTTGTTATGATTTTTTTTTTTTTTTTTTTGTTTCCAGTTGATATTTATTTTTTTTTCTCTCTATCACTGTCTCTGTCTGTTTCTCTCTCTCTCCTACTCACCTACTCTCCTCCTCCTTTCTCTCTCCTTCTCCCCCCCCTCACTCTCCATCCTTATCCATCCATCCCTCTTCCTCCTCCTCTCTCTTTTCTTCTCCTTCCCCCCTCACTCGCATCCTTATCCATCCATCCCTTTCCTCCTCCTCTCTCTCTCTTCTCCTTCCCCCCCTCTCTTCCTTATCCCATCCTCTGGTCCCCCTTCCCTCCTCCCCTCCTCTTTCCATCCTTATCCATCCACCCCTCTCCTCCTCCTCTCTCTCTCTTCTCCTCCCTCCCCCCTATCTCCATCCATCCCTCTCCCTCCTCCTCTCTCTCTTCTTCTCCTCCCGCCCCCCCCCTATCTCCATCCTTATCCATCCATCCCTTTCCCTCCTCGTCTCTCTTTTCTCCTTCTCCCTTCCCTCCCTCCCTCTCTCCATCCTTATCCACCCATCCCTCTCCCTCCTCCTCTCTCTCTTCTTCCCTCCCCCCCCCTATCTCCATCCTTATCCATCCATCCCTCTCCCTCTCGTCTCTCTTTTTCCCCTTCTCCCTTCCCTCCCCCCCCCCGTCCCCTGGAATCGACGCTCTCCTCCGCCCAAAATGACGTCCTTCCCGCAGGCTCTCTCTCCTCGCGCGGGCGGAGGCGAAGGAGAAGCCGGACAGGCGGTTTCTACAAAAGACACGAAGGGCTTTTTTTCTCTTTTTTTCTTGTTAATTTTGGTAATTGGTTCAGTTAATTTGTATGTGTATTCATTCATGTGTGCGTGTGTATGTATATATATAT